TGATTGGTACACCCCTCTTCCACCTTCGCCTCTTTCAACCACTCGTTCCCCCCCCCCCCCCCCCCTCCCCCCCTTCCCCCCACCCACCCACACCACTCCGTCCCCCCCGCCATCAGCTATTCAGAAGCGGAGTACTACCGCCAGGCCATGCGGATGGGCCCTCCCTCTCAGCCCAAGTCCAAGGAGGCCCGCCTGCCAAAGATGCCCGTGCTGTGAGTCATTGGGCGGGGAGAAGAAACGGAAGAAGCGGGAGGGGGAGGGTTTGGTGGAATGGGAAAAAAATTGGGGGGAAGGAAGGGAGAGCGGGAAATGAGATAAGGGGAAAAGGAGGCTCGGCTGCCATAAATGCTCTTCCTGTGAGTCTGTGGGCGGAGAGAGAGGGGCAGGAGGGGCAATCAGGGAAGGAGGGGAGGAGAGGATAGAAGGATACTGCTTGAAACTCAACATTCGAAATGAAAAGATTATTCTCGAGACATCTCATAGCAGAATCCTCGCTATATGTCCTCCTTTCTTTCACCCCTTGCACCCACCTACCACTGAGGTCGTTTTTGAGGCGCCTCAAAAACGATCTTTTTGAGGCGCCTCAAAAACGACCTCAATGAAAAGCTTATTCTCGAGACATCTCATAGCAGAATCCTCGCTATATGTCCTCCTTTCTTTCACCCCTTGCACCCACCTACCACCCCCTTCCACCACCTTTGCCACTCCCTTCCAAGCCCGAGGTTGTCTAAATTCCTAAAGCTCCCTCCCTTCCACCCCCCTCCCACTCCTCCCACCACCCCTCCCACCCCCTCGCAGGCACGACTTCCAGTTCTTCAACACGGCTCGCCTCTCGGAGCTCTTTGACAAGGAGGCCAAGGCTAAGCTGGTCAGTCACTGGGTGACGTGACTGTCGCTGTAGCGTGTTGTTATAACAATGGTGGCTGTACGTGGGTGTTGTTAAGGGTGCATGACTGGCTTTTGAGGCGCCTCAAAAGTCGTCTCATGTCTCTCGTACGTGGGTGTTGTTAAGGGTGCATGACTGGTGGATGGGAGTTTTTGAGAATTCTCAAAAAACTCCCTGCAACGTCAAGGGTGCATGACTGGTGGAGGTGCCTCTAAGAGCTCTTTTACAAGGAGCCCAAGGCCAAGCTGGTCAGTGCTACTGCTGCTGCCACCGCTGTCCTGTCCCTGCCTGCAGCTGCTGCTTTTTTTTTTTGCATGTGTGATTCTAAATTTTCCCTCATGCAATTGTTTCTCATCGTGTTTCTGAGACGTCTCAAAAACACCCTCACTGCACGTGCAATTGTTTCTCATCGTGTTTCTGAGACGTCTCAAAAACACCCTCACTGCACGTGCAATTGTTTCTCATCGTGTTTCTGAGACGTCTCAAAAACACCCTCACTGCACGTGCAATTGTTTCTCATCGTGTTTCTCCCTCCCGCTGTGGTTGGCAGCAAGCGTTGGAGCGGCAGGCAGCAAGGAAGGAGGCCAAGGAAGGGGGCGAACCGTTTGAGGAGGACGGTGAGTGGGCATGGAGGGATGGAGAGGGATGTAGAGGGATGTAGAGGGAGGGCAGAGGTAGAGTTTGGGGGGTGTTGAGTGTCGAGTTTACATCGCGTATCGTTCTGTAGCCTTACAACAGGGGTGTCTTTCAACAAGAACCCTGCATGTATTTCTCCGTGTGCCTGTGTGCCTGTGTGCCTGTATGTCTGTGTGTCTGTGTGTTTGTGATGGTCTGAATGTGGCCACGTCCGTGTCCCCTTTTTCTTGCAGCAGACGAGCAGCCAATTTTGTCCCTAACAGACGAGGAGCAAGAGGAGAAACTGACCCTTCTTAATCAGGTCAGCACCAGCGGCACGAGGCAACCTTGATTCATCAGGCCATAACCTTAAAGTAACGTCAATCAATGACTGTCTGTGGGTGTGCTTTGTGAGATTAGCAGGAACGATACTTTCTACCAACCTTCAGTCTATACAAGCTTCCCTCTTGCTCGCTCTGTCTCTCTCCTCTTTTGCAGGGCTTCAAGTCGTGGACGCGCAAGGACTTCAACCAGTTCCTGCGGCTGTGTGAGAAGTACGGGCGAGCGGACGTGGCAAGCATTGCAGCCGAGATGGAGGGGAAGACGGAGGCTGAGGTTCGGGAGTATGCTGCGGTGTTCTGGGAGCGATGCACCGAGCTGAACGGTGAGATGTGCTTGTGGAACGCGAGAATTGGTGCATGGACCTGAACCGTGGGAAACGCTTGCAAATGAATAGAGGTGGAAATGAAGGCAGACTTGCATAACTAGGAGACAAGATTCTGGGGAACATGAGAAAGAAGAGTTTTTACTCTTGTCTCCACTCTCTGAGTTATCTGCAATTTCTGTGTTTTCTGCAGTCTCTGCCATTCTCCGCATTTTCGCCCTTACTTGCTTCTTGCTTTTTTTTTTTTTTTTCCTCCTGCAGATTGGGACAAGATTCTGCGTAACATAGAGAAGGGCGAGGCGCGCATCGTGCGGAGGGAGGAGATAATGCAGTCGGTGCGGCGCAAGATGGAGCGGTACAACAACCCCTGGGTGGAGCTGCGGATACAGTACGGCACCAACAAGGGCAAGTACTACACGGAGGAGAGCGACCGATTCATGGTGCGCGTGTGGGTGGAGGGGGGGGAGGTGGATTGATGCATTGCATTGCTCTCATTGTTACTCTTGCACCAGCTTGTCCCTCTCAATCCTACCTCTGATGGTAGTCTCGTGACGCACCAAGCTGCATTCTCTCTTACAACTCTCCCATCTCCTCCTACCTTCTGCTGTTTTCACTGACTCTGATTCTTCCTTTGTGTACGTCAGATCTGCATGATCCAACGGCTGGGATATGGCAACTGGGATGAGCTCCGGGCGGCGGTGCGCCAGTCCCACCTGTTCAAATTCGATTGGTTCCTGAAATCAAGACAGCCGCCTGAGCTGGCGCGGCGGTGCGACACTCTCATCCGATTGGTGGAGAAGGAGAACCAGGAGTTGGAGGAGAAGGAGAGGCAGGCGAAGCGGGACAAGAAGAACAGCGCCAAGGTAAAGCGACGGTTCTCTCTCTCTCTCTCTCTCTCTCTCTCTCTCTCTCTCTCTCTCTCTCTCTCTCTCTCTCTCTCTCTCTCTCTCTCTCTCTCTCGCTCTCTCTCTCTCTCTCTCTCTCTCTCTTCTCTCTCTCTCTCTCTCTCTCTCTCTCTCTCTCTCTCTCTCTCTCTCTCTCTCTCTCTCTCTCTCTCTCTCTCTCTCTCTCTCTCTCTCTCCCATGTGGCTCAGATTATCAGCTGCTGTGCATCATTCATGCTGTTTTTGTTCCTGTGACTTTTGAGTCGACTTGAGAACCAGGAGCTGGAGGAGGAGCGGTAGGCAAAGCGGGACAAGAAGAACAGTGCCAAGGTAAAGCGGCGGTTCTTTTCAAGTTTTACTTTCACGTGGCTCTGTGTTGATACGTCTCGAAGCGGGACAAGAAGAGCAGCGCGAAGGTAATGCGGCGGTTGTCTCTCTCTCGCCAGGCTCAAAGCATCAGCTTCTGTGCATCACTCATGCTGCTTTTGTTTTTGTTTTTCTGTTCTACCACTTTCCTGGGTTTACCACAGGCATCTGGAACAAGCAGAGGAGGCCAGGCAGCAGCAGCAGCTGAGGCTGTTGGCAGCGGAAGCAGGAAAAGAAAACAGTCAACTCTTGAGGCCTTTGTGGTAAGCTCCTTGCAGTAACTCACATTGTGTTCCTCTTTCTCCTATCCTTCACACCCATGCGTGCATGCTTTCTATGTTGGAGTTCCCCAGATTCGATAATCATGTCTTGTTCATCCTATGCTTCGTGTGTGTTGCCAATCTTGCAGAAGAAAAGGTAACACAGCAGAAAGGAGTGTAGATGGTGGATTGCCAGGTCTTGTAATGAACAGGTGTGGTAATGGTAGTACAGTATGCGATATATGCAAATTCCTTTCCGAAGGTCAAATAGTTCTTCAATACCAGTATTGGTAAATAAATGTGCTTCAGCACAATCGAGTATGTGAAGCTGTACAAGTAGATTCACAAGTGATGAAGCAGGTTTCGGAACACACGCGACTGTACAAGACTGAGCACTGGCAGGTGAAACAGAATACTTGTGAGTAATCACAGCTCCATAGTGACTTGTTCGCAGCAGTGCAGCACAGGGCACCTGTGCCCTACAGAAGTGACCAGCAGTGAGCTGGTACCAGTAACCAGCCCCAACAAGCCCACCGGCCATCATCTTCAGCAAGATCAGGCTCCTCCTGAGGACTATTGAGCATGTCATTGGTACAGGCAAGTGGAGGTGATGACAGGGTGGGGAGGGAGGGGAACAGGGGAGTGGACTGCTGAATTTTAGTCACCTTACAAGAGCAACACATACCTGATCCATACCAGAAAAGGTGCACATAAAGACACATTAGCAATGTCATGAATTAAAGTTGGGGAAGGAGGGGGGAGAGGGTGGGAGGCGTTGAGGGGTGGTGGAGACTGAAGGCAAAAAAAGGAAAAGAAGGTGCAGAGCAGAGCAGAAGTTTATTAATGTGGGGAAAATCCCTAGCCAGACTGCCACGACTCAGGCAGCTTGGCGGCTAAGACGCCCCTTCCAGTCAAAAGTCCAAAAAGACAAGCAACAAAGAATTGCTGTGCGCCAATCGCATCGCAGGGATGCGCCACGTATTTGACACGCCAAGTGGCATGCCATACCTTGTCTCGTGGAATACCACGCTGCCCAGGTGCCTGGATGGGCTGGCGCTCGGCCTATGGCGCTTTGAGACACACTTGTACCAACCCAGACTTGACTGGGTTGACCATAAAACAAAGACTTCGGGAAATTGAATTGATGAAATAGCACCGACGAAGACACCAGGCCCTCCCTCCCCTGCTCCATTTCGTCCCTTCCCCTTCCTTTCCCTCCAGCCCCGTTCTGCACTGCACCGCAACCCTCCCTCATCCTCACAAACCCTTTTCTCTGATCCCACAAACCCCGCCAACCCCATCCCATATTTCTCACCTCGACCAAGTTAATCCGGCAACGCAGTACCCCGCTCCAGGTTATTCTTAATCTCCACCGTGTATTTCCCAAACGCTCGCTCAATCTTCCGGTTGAAGTGCTCGTTCCGATCGTTGATACTATCAATGTCCTTCTCGTCGTGGTGCCGTCTCCTTCGGCTGAACTCCTTGCGGCTCTTGGCTCTATCTGTCAGCTCAGCCACCATTCTGTCGACGTTCTCCTCGGGAATCTCCGGAGCTTGCCCGTACTGGAGGCTCGCGTCGTCGCGGTAAAAGTCCGGGTCTTTTTCCTTGGCTTTAAGATATTCCTCTTCTGTGTACGGGATGTTGCCTGTGCGCTTCTTGTACGCGTTATACAGTGCCTGCTGATTGAACGCTGAGAAAGGGGTGGGGAGAATCAAGGAAAAAAAAAGAGGAGAGGGGGGAAGGAGATGGGAAGAAGGGAAGATGTTGAAAATAGGTGAAGCAAACAACATGCTACGCTATGCTAACTGAGAATGTACGAAAAGCCATTGGCCATCATCATTACCCCAATAGATCTCCATCCCCTCGAATCCACCCACTTCCTTCCCCACCCTTTCCCGCTTTCCTACTCACCGTTTGACCATTAGCATCTTTCCCCCTTCCCCCGCCCCCGTCTCCGCCCTCGCCCCCCCGCCACATCCCTAACACGCACCATCCCAGCCAAAAGGAGCCGGTTTCTTCTCCCACTTCTTGTACTTGCTCTCCGCCGCCTCCTGCGTTTCCAGCATGTACGCCTTGGTGATATCCAGCCCTCCCTTTCCCCATCCCCTTTTCCCCATCCCCCTTTCCCTTCCCCCTCCCCCCATCCCCCTCTCCCTTCCCCCTCCCCCCATCCCCCCTTACCCAAGAGCCCCACCCCCACCCGTCCCTGACACTTACCATCCCAGCCAAAAGGAGCCGGTTTCTTCTCCCACTTCTTGTACTTGCTCTCCGCCGCCTCCTGCGTTTCCAGCATGTACGCCTTGGTGATATCCAGCCCGGCGGCGTCCAGCTGCTTGCTCATCTTGCGCTTCTTCTCCTCGAACCATGCCGCCTTGCTCACTCCGCGCGACTCCTCCTCCTCGGGTTTCTCCTCCCGCCGCTTCTCCGCGACAACCGCGGTCTGATTAGCCTTCCGCGCCTGGTTCTGCGGAGGACGAAGGGGGAACGGAGCGGAAGGCGGGATTGGGTGGGGAGGGGGAGGGGGAGGGGGGAGGAGGGGAAAGCGTGGGGGTGTGAGGAGAGAGTGAAGCAGGGGAAAGGAAAGGCTTGGAGAGATGAAAAGGCTTGGGAGAGATGGAAAGGCTTGGGAGAGATGGAAAGGCTTGGGAGAGAGAAGAAAAGAGAGGTTAACACATGAAGAGGGAACACGTAACATCGAACCCAATCCAGCTTGGGAAACGTACCATCTTCAGGCGTATCTCAAAAAGCTGCTTCTGCAGGGCGACTTTTAAGGCGCATCAAAAGTATACGTACCAGCTGGCGCAGACGTACCAGCTTCAAGCGTATCTCAAAAAGCTTCTTTTGCCGGGCGTCCATCCCTTCATAGCTCGGCACATCCACCACGTCCGCTGCCGCCTGCCGGTCATCCTCAGCCGTCCGATCTGGCGAATCTCGACGCTGAGCTTGTCGGCCTCGAGATTGCCGAGTGCTCTGAGCTGCGACCACGGATATGTCCTCCTCTCCCGGTCCAACCGCCGCTTTCCGTCCGTCTACGACAACCTCGTCGTACTTCCGTTTGAATTTCTCTTGTCTGCCGAAGGAGGTAGGGAGCTGCGACGGTGCTGAGTGATGAACAAAAAAACGCAGAAAAACAATTCGAAAACCAAGTACGCATCAACAAAACCAATTGATAAAATAGCTCGCGGCGAAACCCCAACAACAGCGCAAAATAAAAACAAACAAACAAACAAACGAGCAAGCATCAGCGATAATTTTTAGAATAGCGGCACAGTAATCAACGAGTCGTACCCTCGCCTTTCGTAGGTGCGGTCGCTCCAGGTCGGCCTTTCCGCTCGGCGATTTTCCGAAAGCAATAGTCCGTGCACTCGTGGTAGGGATTGCTCGCATTTATACAATCGGGATGCACGTGCTGCACCATCGTACTCGCGGAACACTAACAGACACAGCCCGCGGAGAATCGCATGAAAGCTGGAAAGAAACTTGAACCTGCGTCAAGAGTTCCAGTCGAAAACGGAAACCTTCGAAGACCGAGTTTCAGGAATAGAGAGAAATCTGAGATTCAAGATGCTTGGAGAACTACCACCTACCCCACCGCAGTGCCGGACCGAGCAAAGAAAGGAAAGAGAAAAAGACGGGTTTTCAGTTGACAACGCACGGTTTTCGAAACTGCACGCCAAATGCGCAGTTTCATCGCTTCTGGGGCAGGGTTACTGCCCGTTTTTCGTTTACAGCGCAGAGTTTGTGCGATTTCTACGCAGCTCGACGCTCATTCGTCTAAATATCCGAAAACGACAAGCCTGCAATGTAACAGAAAATTTATTTAACTCAGTCAGGTGTTTCAAAATTTTCACGCCCATATAGAGAGTGCATCAATCCTAAACATCCAGTCGCGTGGAGTTTAGGGTTGATGCTCCCTCGACGGCAGCCATTAAAATATATATTTTTATATATATATATAAAAATCGTGACAAAGGGAATCAGCCCTGAACACTTTCGGCCAATGTTTAGGGTTGATGCTCCCTAAACACTTCCGCCCGGTGTTTAGGGTTGATGCTCCCTAAACACCCCGCCCGGTGTTTAGGGTTGATGCTCCCTGAACAGCATGCCATCCGAGAGGGTAATATATTTTCGTCTGCCCAAAATTCAGGTGCAAACAGTTCGATGGCCGTCAATCCAACCGGAGTTGTCGGTCCGTCAACATTTTGACCAATGAAATCTTTACTGCGTAGAAATCTCACTAACTATGCGCTGTGATCGAAAACTGGGCACTAACAGTGCGCCAGAAGCGACAATGCTGCGCTTTTTTCGTATATTTTCAGTAACAGTGCGGGATTAACTAAAAACCCGAAAAAGACAGCAACACAAAAGAGGTATAAGGGGCTGTACCTCGTGGAAACCTTCTAGCATCACACCGTACCGTATCAGACCACATCACACAACTACAAAAATTGTGAGTATATGCCGGGATGGGTTGGGAGAGCGTGTTCACAGGTTGTGTTGGTGGGAGTGCTTTGTGTGGACGAGAAACAACGGGGTTGGATTGGGTTGGTTGGTTTGAATTGAACAGGTCGATTGTACAGCTGATGCCCACCCCATGCACGCGAATTTTCTGTACCGGATGGAAACGCTGCACCCGAGGTTTTTCCCCAGCCAGTTGCACCCACGTTACAAGCACGTCGCGCAAGTTGCAGGGAATATGAACCACAAGTGACGAACAGACCGTGGTCATACTGAAGAGACTGAAGTCAAAACGTCAACGGATAGGGTTACAGATCCTTTATATATGCACCTGCGAGTTCTTTTTAGCTAGCTGCGAATTGACGAAACTTATGCGAACAGAATGCTCGATACAGCTTATACGCCCCCTTCACAAGGCAACCGGGAGGGGCTCAATCAGGCATCAGCTGTACCAGGTCGCGGTTGCCAACTTTCATAATCCGCAATGGTGACAACTTCTAGGTTACGTTAGCATTTTACCTATACACAATTAGGCTAAGAACCAAAACCAGTTTGTCTAAAACCGAAATGCAAAATAGTGAACCCGTCTCCAGCTTGAAAGAGAGCTTGTCGAGCGAAACAATTTTCAAACCAAACCGACAACTTTGCACTGTTTTATTGTGAGCGTTCGAACAGATCGAACAAATCTGATTGGTTGCCGCCAAAACCGAAGAAAGAAACACAGCACGTCAGGCGTCGCATCCCTGTTTGGGGAGCCGCAGAACAGAAGCACCGCGATCGTTTGTCACGTCCCTGCGATTTTTCGCCCAGCTTGGAGTTCAAGTTGGGCATGGGTGTACTACTAGTTCTTCCGTTCATTTGTTCGTGCTTCTAGTCATCAGTTGCTTGTCTAGCCACATAGCCCTCAACTTAGGCTATTGTTACCGCAACTTAGACGCGTAGTGATTATATGGCATGATTGCGCAGTAATTGTGCCGTTTAGATCGCCCTCTAGCGGCCTCCTATCGCCCTCTCGCCGCCTCCGTCCCGAAGTCGCGCTCGCTATCTCCCATCGCGGCCCTCCCCTCAGTTCGCGTCGCCTCGCTATCTCTTCCCCCCCATCTCGTCGCCTCGCTATCTCTCCCCTCCCATCCCGCACGCCTTTCTCTGCCGTCTCTCGTCTTCTCTCACGTCGCCCCTCCCCTCCCGTCGCCTTTCCCTCCTGTTGCTTTCCTCTCCCGTCGCCTTTCCCCTTCGTCGCCTTTCTTCTCCCGTCGCCTTTCTTCTCCCGTCGCCTCTCATCTCCCGCCGCCCTTCCTTCTCTCCCGCCGCCTTTCCTCTCCCGTCGCCTCTCCTCTCCCGCCGCCCTTCCTTCTCTCTCGTCGCCTATCTTTCCCTCTCGTCGCCCTTTCTCTCTCGCGTCGCCCTTTCTCTCCCGTCGCCCTTCATCTCTCGCGTCGCTCTTCCTCTCTCCCGTCGCCCTTTCTCTCTCCCGTCGCCCTTTCTCTCCCGAAGCTCTTCTCTTCCGTCGCCCTTCCTCTCTCCCCTCCTACCACCCACCTCGGCGCCCTCCCGTCGCCCCGAAATGCCTGCTTCGCCCTTCCTCTCTCCCCTCCCACTACCCACTTCGGCGCCTTCGCGCTCGCCCCGAAATGCCTGCCCGTCGCCCTTCCTCTCTCCCCTCCTACCACCCACCTCGGCGCCCTCCCGTCGCCCCGAAATGCCTGCTCGTCGCCCTTCCTCTCTCCCCTCCCACTACCCACCTCGGCGCCTTCGCGCTCGCCCCGAAATGCCTGCCCGTCGCCCTTCCTCTCTCCCCTCCTACCACCCACCTCGGCGCCCTCCCGTCGCCCCGAAATGCCTGCTCGTCGCCCTTCCTCTCTCCCCTCCCACTACCCACCTCGGCGCCTTCGCGCTCGCACCAAAATGTCTGCCCGTCGCCCTTCGTCACTCCCCTCCCATCACCCACCTCGGCGCCCTCCCGTCGCCCCGAACTGCCTGCCCGTCGCCCTTCCTCTCTCCCCTTCCATCACCCACCTCGGCGCCTGCGCGCTCGCCCCGAAATGCATGCCCGTCGCCCCTCGTTCTCCCCTCCCAACACCTTACCATTCCGCTATTCTCGTTCACTCTGCTCTCTTCGTGCGTTCTCGTTTCCGTCTCGCTATCCCTTTTTAAACTCTAACTTGAAACACTCTGTTTTTACCCGCATTCTGGTTTTCCTATGCTGTATTTGCCGCTCCAGCAGGTCCATGTCCAAGGCGTTTGTCGTGCGTGAATTGCACATGCAACACTTGTTGAAATTGGCACACCGTGTGATTGGGATTCGCCCGTCGCAAACTTGCACATGCTTGCGACGAATTTTGTAGTTTTTTTTGTGAAGTCGAACGTGTGTGAAAAACACAACAGAACAACACTTCGAATTTCAGAAGCATTACAAAGTTAGTATCATGATTTCAAGTGGACCCACTAGAAGGTTGGGGGGGTCACTATTTCAGCTGCTGGCTTTAATTTGTTATGATAGAAGTCCAACAAATTAAAATATTGTTAAGATGCGGCTAAAATGGTAATATGTGCATACTTCCCCGATGTAATCTTTACACAGGCACCACGTTACTTTCGTGTTGGCAATGCCTGCTGTGCTGCTGACAGCTGCTGAAGCATCTGCGGATTCAGCTGGTAGTGCTTCACACCAGGCTGCACCCCGTACTGCTGCTGCTGCTGCTGCTGTCCTGCCACCTGTCCACCAACACCTGGCTGTTGCTGCTGCTGATACTGACCCATGCCTTGCATCGGCATTTGTGGCTGCGGTTGTGACTGTATCTTAGCCTGCCCCTGTGCAAAACCCTGGCTGGATTGTTGGCTCTTTTGCACGCTCATTTGCTGGCCTCCTACTTGGCCCATTGGCCCCACAGCAGTCTGGCTCTGCACGGTCTGGGTCTGCACGGCCTGCATCTGCACAGTCAGAGGCAGTCTTTGAGAGGGTTGGGGGGCTTGAGGGGCTTGGCGTTGAGGTGCTGCTTGCGCCACCCCACTGCCTTGCTGCTGCACCTGCCCCTGCACCTTCAACCCTTGCATCTGCTGCTGCACCTGCTGCCCTTGAATCTGCTGTTGTGGGTACCCTTGCTGCTGCTGCTGCGGCGGCGGTGGCATTTGCCCTTGCTGCCCCTGCTGCTGTGGCTGTGACTGCCCCTGCCCCTGCTGCCCCTGCTGCCCCTGCTGCCCTTGCTGCTGCAGCGTCCCCTGCTGGCCCTGCCCTGCTTTCGCCCCTCGGCGGATAGGAGGTTGAGCCAGCACTACATTTCTGCCTCTTGACAGCCCAGCAGTTGGCATCTGCAGCACCATCCCGGCCACCGGCACTTGCGGTGCTGCCCTCTGCGGCTCTCCCTGCCCTGCCACACCCGCTACTGCTGCCTGACCTTGCTGCCCCTGCGCCTGCCCCTGCCCCTGCCCTTGCTGAGATGGCTTTCTCTGCTGCGCTTGTGCATTTTGGGACCCAGCTACCCTCCCTGCTGCTGCTGCTGCTGCTGCTGGCCCCCTTGCCCCGTCCCCTGCCCAGCTCCCGTTCCTACCCTCGCCCCTTGCCCTCCCTGCCCAGCCCCATGGTTCGGGTGCAGCTGCGGCGGCAACCGAGGCTGCTGCGGAGGCTGGGCAGGTTGGGGCGGCAGCAGCTGCTTCAGGTCCGTCCACTTGGGATCCCCGACCAGAAGCTGACAAAACGGATGCTCCAGCAACTCGGCCGCACTCTTCCTCTTTTTCGGCTCTTTCTGCAGACAACACCGGATAAAATCCTGAAACTCCGGAGAACAACTACCCGGAGCCTCAGGCGGCTCGTTGAAAACGATCGCGCCAAAAAGCGTCATCCAATCGGCCGACTGCCCGGCCTGCACGTATGGGAACCGGCCAATCACGAGCTCGAGGAGCGAGAGGCCCATGGACCAGACGTCTGAGAGGTAGCCGTCGTAGCCCTCGCCTGGCGGCGGGTTGATGCGCTCGGGGGAGAGGTAGGCGGAGGTGCCGACATAGGAGTTGCACTGCGCGAGGGTGGACGCCAGCTCCTTGCTCACCCCGAAATCAGCTATCTTCACCTGCGAGGGTGGGGGGGAAGAGAAGAGGGAGGGGAACTTATATGGATTCTTCAGGTGTTTTCATAAGCAAGGAAGAAGCAGTGAAAGCTTTTGAAGCGCCTCAAAAGTTCTTCAGGTGTTTTCATAAGCAAGGAAGAAGCAGTGAAAGCTTTTGAAGCGCCTCAAAAGTTCTTCAGGTGTTTTCATAAGCAAGGAAGAAGCAGTGAAAGAGGCCCCATCTGTCACCTCCGCAATTGAAGTTTTGACTTGAGTTGACTAAGAAATCTGAAATGGCTTGGGCGGCTGACCTGACCTGCATGCTGGACAATCTGACCTGCCCCTGGCATTTGATTTGAAACTATTTGCATTGACTGCAAGGGCTGATCTTACACCGGCGTTTGATTAGCTGACTGGCGTTGACTGGCGTTGACTGACATGACTGACTGACCTGGCCTTGGCGGTTGAAGAGCAGGTTGGAGGGCTTGATGTCGCGATGCACCACGTGCTGCCGGTGCAGGTACAGCAGCCCCTGCAGGCACTGCTTTGACTGGCGTTGACTGGAGTTGACCTGAGTTGACTGGCGGGACGGACTGACCTGGCCCTGGCGGTTGAAGAGCAGGTTGGAGGGCTTGATGTCACGATGAACCACGTGCTGCCGGTGCAGGTACAGCAGCCCCTGCAGGCACTGTTTGACCTGCGTTGACCTGCGTTGACTGGCGTTGACTGACATGACTGACTGACCTGGCCTTGGCGGCAAGGTGCAAAAATACGGTTTTCGTAAATTACGGTCCGTTTTTTACGGTTCGTTTTTTACGGTAAATTTCCAAAAATACGGCGTTTTTTTGTTAGAGAACTCTTGTCACCAAGAAAAAACAGGCAAAAACAAGGTCGTACACATTTTCAATCATGCCCACACATGCACACATGCAAGGAGGGGTTCGTCCTCTTCATCCTGGTGATTTTCGCCATCAATTTGGTCCCATAAAATGGCCGATTTTTTCTTCAAACAAAAATCACCTTCTGGAACCGTTTTTTACCGTTTTTTACGGTACCGTTTTTTACGGCCGTTTTTTACGGTAAATTTTCAAAAAAAACGACGTTTTTTTGAACCTTGCTTGGCGGTTGAAGAGCAGGTTGGAGGGCTTGATGTCGCGATGCACCACGTGCTGCCGGTGCAGGTACAGCAGCCCCTGCAGGCACTGTTTGACCTGCGTTGACCTGCGTTGACTGGCGTTGACTGGCGTTGACTGACATGACTGACTGACCTGGCCCTGGCGGTTGAAGAGCAGGTTGGAGGGCTTGATGTCACGATGCACCACGTGCTGCCGATGCAGGTACAGCAGCCCCTGCAGGCACTGCCGCGCCACCTCTGGCATGAATGACTCGGGAATCTTGCCCTGCTCTCAAGCAGAAACAGGGGAATCGAAAGAAAATAAAGAAATTGGGAAGTCATGAGGAAAATGGAAAGGCACACTTGAGTAACCGAGCGATTCGGTGCGACGAACAAACACTTTTTTGGAGTACTTGTATGGGATACCTGTATCCATCTACATGCAATTTCTACCTTTGGAACATAGTGGCAAACCTAGCACACGCACCACACCACATGCACATTGTTTTGCACGCTACTGAAGTTACCAGGACTTTTAGCTTCTCAAACATAATATGGCTAACCTAATTTTAGTGGAAATGCGAAATCTTGGCTCTAATGTCTATTTCCAAAATTGATTTGGAGTCTGACTAAAGCTCATCTCATCTTCTTCCTTTCAGCATGGCCTGCGTTTGACTCACCCTCTTCTTAGTCACGTCCGCCAGAGTGCCACCATCCATGAGCTCCAGGACAAACGAGATCTCCCCGAGGTGGTCAAAGATACCGTAACACTCCACCACCTGGCAAGAGGAGGGGAGAGCGAGAGGGAAGGGACAGCGCGCATTAGAGTTGTTGGCAGGGACCTTCGAGGACAGAATGAATCTGCTCAAGGCGAATGAGATCTCCCCCAGGTGGTCAAAGATGCCGTAGCACTCCACCACCTGGCGAGAGAGATGGGGGAAGGGGAAGGAGAGGGGGGAATGGGATGAAGAAAGACAGAGAGATCTCCCCCAGGTGGTCAAAGATGCCGCAGCACTCTACCACCAGGCGGAAGGGGGAGGACAATTAAAATTCTCCAAGGGGAGGAGGTATTTTGAGTTGACTCAGTACACACCAAGAGTGCCACCATCCATCCATGAGCTCCAGGACGAATAATATCTCCCGCAGATGGACGAATGAGTTCCGTAACACTCCACCACCTGGCGAGAGGGGGGGGGGAAGGAAGGACGAGAATGAGAATGGTCTATATTCCCGAGCCGTCTCAAAAGGTCTTGTCCTGAGGAGACTTAGCAAGTGGAGTGGAGAAGCCTGAGATGAGGATATGGGCCCACGGGAACGAGAATGAAGAGAAGAGAGTCACCATTCCAAAGACGAAGGCAACGGGAGCGAATATGGCAACAATAAGGGCGATGAAATAACGGCTCGTGCCATCTAAATATGCCTGGCTCCAATGCGTGGACAGGACTATGATTCCATGACAGCCTGAAGCTCAACTGTTGAAATGGCTTTGCAACCACGCGCTACTCATTCACATCTTAGCATAGTCAGTCATAGGCTTGGACATTAAACTCGCATACTGAACTTTTGATGTGAAATAATTTTAAGCGCTCATGCGGAAAGAGATCCCCCACCAACCCCCTTTTTCGCCCACTCCCCGTTTCCCTTCCCATGCAACACTTGCATGATCGGATCACGCTCCCGTATAATCAGCATCTCCTGAAAAATCTGCTTCCGCACTTCCGCATGCCAATCAGCAGCTCTTGCTTGCTACACTCACTCTTGTCCAGACCACTTGCTGCACCCAGTACATCCATCCATCCCCCAATGCCACACTCACATGATCGGATCGCGCGCGCCGTAGGATCTGCATTTCTTGGATAATCTGCTTCCGCACTTCCTCATCGTATTTTTCCTGAATCACCTTTAGTGCGTATTCCTGTCACCCACCACAGTCACCAACGCCATAAAAGCAACACAATTATTAATAAATGTTTTCCTTGTCATTTTAGGTCGAATTCAATGATTCGCGGTAAGATCCGCGTCTCAGACGTCAGTGAAACGGGAAATGAACCAGAGGAACGGAAACGCGGCCTCAATCTCTTATGCACCACCTGGCGACCAGAAAAAGTAAGAATAACAATAAATAGATAAATACCTTGCCCGTTTTCTTATGCCGAACGCGGTACACGCGACCCCCGCTTCCAAACCCTAACGGCGGCAGGATTCTCTCCAGATCTTCAAGAGCCACATCTTCCCGCGGCGTAAACACCATCATCGGCGCTTTCACCGCGTTACCCGCTCCCGCGACGCCTACTAACGCCGTTCCGCCAGCAACTCCAGAACCAGCTCCCGATGCAGCGCCGCCGGCCCCGCCGCCGGGCCCGCCGTTGATCACGGCGATTGGGGCGGGCTGGACGCTGGTGGGTGCGCCTTTCGCGGCGGCTGCAGCGGCGGCGGCTGCGCCGGCTGGAGGCATGGGGAGGGCTTGAGGAACGGGGAGAGGCAGAGGCTGGGGCCGAGCCGCGTTGGCAGTCCGAGCCGGCACGCCGATTCGCAGGCCGAGACCTCGGCCTCTTCCTCCTCGTGAGGCCATGGTGGTCGAGATTTATATTTACGGAACGGATTGGATAGTGTTATTGGACTGTTTATGTGTTCAGTGGAGCGGTGCTCTCTGGACCGGTGCACGACGGTGGAGCGCTGTTCTGTAGTGTGGTGACCAATATCGGATGTGGCTAGTGCTATGCGAAGGCTAGCAGACGTTGCAGAGTAATTACTGCCTCGTCTAATAAGATAGACTATTGAATGAGACAGCGCAACGCGACGGCCCGTGGGGGAAGAGAATGCAGTCGTTAGCTTCTGGCAGGAAAAAACAAGGCAGAATCCATCGTGCTTCACGAGACTTATGGGCCAAGATGGAAAGTGGGATTTAGAAGTTCAAAACCGGATATTATTCGCCAGCTAGGATTGGAGGCGAGATGATGGGAGTTCGGAATCTAGGCAAACACTGAGCTGCAGAAACCTCTTCGGAAAATAGTCCAGCCAACAGCAGCAACTGGGAGCGACATGCACAAACGCTGCGCACGATGTGAGCGACGGAGTGCACGATGGATTACGTAAGATAAGGCTTTAGAAGGCCACAATTCACAAGATAAGGCTCCCCATTTCGTTCCTTGCGCTGTGGGCTTCAAATCTAGGGGGCAGGTGATCAGGCCTAGTGGTGTGGCGTGGCGGTGATTGGAATCAAAAGCCTCCCTTCCGAGCTGTTGGCTGCATGGGATGGAAATACCAATGTAGGTTGGGCTCATGTTCTTGTAGCTGCCCGTTTTTGGGAAATCGAGGAGCCGGCACTTCGTCTCTGGAACTGCTTCCTCCGTGTTTTCCCTTCTTCCTTTCTAGGTACAGAGCGGTGGAGAGGGCAAAACAAGGTGAGTGAACTGAAATTACATTGAAAGAATAATTATGGACGGACTTCGGAGATGTGCGATTGGGCAAATGGTCCACTGGCGCCGCACGGTTCAGTGGCCTGGCCACGTAATTTTCTTTCCATCTCTGCCCCGAAAACCTTCGCGTCGCGCCAACCTCGAGCCCGCAAGCACCATCGTGGTGCAGAAAGAACCCAGGCTGACAGACCGGAGGGAATCTGAAAGGGCAGGCGAACACAGAACTGGCAAATCAGTTCTGCAACCGAACCAGAAAGGCATCCTGGTGGCGTGGCGGGCGTTTTTCCTCCACTCCACACTTGCAATTCTTGGACAAACCTTGGGAAGATCGTGTGGGTGGATCACCTTGTCGTTTTGTGCGAGGCTGGAGTGGAGACTGGGGTTTGCTATACGCTTTAAAAGCTGCGCTTTTAAGCATGAAGCCTGGTTATGGAGTGATGAACTATTCGTATCAAATGCACAGATAGAGGAAATGAAGTTCGAGGGCAACTTCATCCTGGATGAATAGTTCAATTCGCTTACAGGCATACTCATGATTTTATCAGTGAGCAGGAAACGCAACGAATCGCTCGTTATCGAGGAAATGAATATCAAGTCAATGAGGTGAAAAAAACAGGCTAACTTCTGCCATTGCTTTCCGCTACGGTGCGCATGCGGTTCCTGGTCGCTGTTTGTCCCGCGGCTTCTTAGGGAATGGAGCAAACCCTTTCTTTACTGAGACCGGCCTCAGCCCCCGCTTTCCCGTCATTGCCGTTAGCATTCCCGTCAATGCTTACGTCAACATTTCCGTCCACGGTAACCTTCCAATGGTCCGCTCGTTCCTATCATCACCCTCACCCTCATGGTCATACCGCAAGCATTAAGATCCCTAGCGGCTCTTTCGTCGCTAGTTCATCGCTAGTTCCTCTAAACTCCAGAATAGCAGCGACTGGAAGTGCATTCAACAAGTTTATCCCCTTGCATTTTGCTCATCAAGTGGCTAAGCGGCGAGTCGCAGTCAAACTGCTAAATGAAGCCGCTCGAACCGCCAGCTCATGTCAACCAATCAGAAAGGTTCCCGCTGCTGCTGCGTCTGCGGCCGTAGCAGTAGTAGCAGCCACCACAGGACGCAAAAACTCATCCACAGCTACTATACCTGCCGCTGGAGCTTCTAGAAGCGTCGTTGGAGCTGCAAGGGGAATCACTGGGAACTCCCACTGTGAGAAGCGTTGGGGATGCAGGCAGCCAATGGAAAGACGACATTTTAGAGACGTCTTTAAAGTTGCTCCGGACGAAGCCTGTCAACCATTGCGTGGACTTCGTCGTCAGAGAATGTGAGCGCGTGGCGGCTGATAATGCCACGTCATCACTCAGCGAGCCGGCCACGTCACCGCTCAGCGAGCCTGCCACGTCAGCCCACATCCAGACGGCGTCAGATCCCCGCACAGCTGCGCTGAGCGTCCTGTCTCAGTGCCTCAGAAAACAGCTTCAAACGAGTCAGCTTAAAACGGCGAATACGCTGCTCTTCGCATTAGCACATCACCAATCCGGGGATAGGCACGGAAAGACCACAGCAGATGGGAAAATTGGGGCGTTCATGGGGCGGGCGGTGAGGTGGGAGGAGGTGGTGGGGAGCGTGGCAGCGCGGCGGGACGTGCGACTGGCAGTGTTGCACGCGCTGAGACGAAAAAGGGCGGACGAAGCTGTCGATCTTCTCTGCTCTCTCGCAGGTAGCACCATACCACTATCTGCTGGACTTTGGAAATCTCTGAATAACTGACAGGTAACGATGCTGCGATCTAATTCCTGTTTTCCCTTCTGTCTTGCTTGTCATCTCACCGCTCCGTCACAGTCCAGGCCTTGGTTTCTCCCAAACCCTGTCACTGGTGTCACTGCTCCTAACCCCTTCCGCCAAACCCCCGCTCCCCCTCCATCTATTCCCCCCTGTACGTGTCAACCCTCTCCTCCAGGCATGGGGCTATCCCCAAGGAAGCTAGCAGTGAGCGATCAAGTGTATCAAGCATGCGTTGCTGCCTGCAATCTGCCCCTCATCATGCGGTGAGTTCAGGGTACAGGGTTTGTGCAGTGCATGCTAGAGTTCAGGGTACAGGGTTTGTGCAGTGCATGCTAGAGTTCAGGGTTTAAGGTCACGAGCGTGCTACTGCAGTGAGCTTTGTCAAGCCTGCCTCGCATCATACCTTGAACAGCATGGGGTTTAGGGTAAGAGGGATTTGGGGCGTGCTGTGGTGAGTTGGATTCCAGGGTCAGTCACCTCACCTGCCTGCCTTGCTGTGGTGCGTGCAGGGTGAGTTGGATTTCAGGGTCAAGTCAACTAGCCTTGTCTGTCTTCCTTTTCCGTGCAATCACTCTTCGTTTCGCCCTCTCGTTGCTTTTCCTGCATCCAGCTTCATCCTGCTGCACCTGCCTTGTGCGTGCACAGTAGACTACAACAAGGCCATCAAGGAGTGTGCCAGTGCCAGGCAGGGCAAGCTACAACCAGCCCTGACTGACTCTCTCGCCCGCACTTCTGTTCCCCCTTTCCTGTGCTCGCAGCTTCATCCTGCACCTGCCTTGTGCAAGCGCAGTGGACTACAACAAGGCCCTTAAAGAGTGCGCCAGGCAGGGGAAGCTGCAGTTAGCCCTCACTCTCTTCCACGCTCTCAGAAGGGGATGCAGAGCAGGAGGAAATGGGGGTGGTGATAGCAGCACCAGCAGCAGCAGCAGCAACAGCAGCAACAGCAGCAGTGGTGGCAGTGGCAGCAGCAGTAGCAGGGAGCCAGTTGGAGGAGATCTGTTGCCACCACCTGGCGTTTCACCTGAGGTTCCACCTGAGCGGGGCGTGCTACCTGGAATAGCACCTGGCGTGGCACCTGACATGTTCACATACCGCTCCATGATGGACGTGTGTGCAGCATGCGGCGCCGGCAATACAGCCGCTGAAATCATCCAGGTGAGTCATTCAGGTGAATCTCCAGGTGAGTCATTCAGGTGAATCTCCAGGTGAGCCATTCAGGTGAATCATGATCCAGGTGTTAGGTGCTACTTGCCCGCTGGTGCTCCTACACTCAGCGGCTCTGACATGCTCGCTCGTCACACACCACTCCCTGATGCTCCCGCTCTCTCGTGTTCCCCTTGCTCCTCACTCCCCTTCCGCCCCTCCAGGCAATGGAGCAGAGCAGTAGGGCGGGGTTGCATTGTACCCAACGCCTGCGTGGTGACTTTTGAGTCGACTCAAAAGTCACCCTCCAGGCAATGGAGCAGAGCAGTAGGGCGGGGTTGCATTGTACCCAACTCCTGCGTGGTCAACTGTGCACTCAACGCGTGTATTCACACGTTCTCTCTTCTTCCCTCTCCTTCCCCTTGCACTTCCGCCCATCCAGGCTATGGTGGAGGAGGACGGGGTGGTGCCCAACACAACACCTATGTGGTCAACAGTACACTCAACGCGCGCATCAGTGACTGGGACGCCTGCTTTCTCCTTCTCTTTCCTCGCCCCTTCCCCCTTACCAGGCTATGGTGGAGGAGGACGGGGTGGTACCCAACACCTACGTGGTCAACAGTGCACTCAATGCATGCATCAGTGACTGGGATGCCACGTGGTCGCTCTGGTTCCGCATGGAGGTGAGCTGGCAGGGGAGAGCTGGCAGTGCTGAGCTGGCAGTGCTGAGCTGGCAGTGATGACCTGGTCCGGCAGTGGTACTTTTGCAGTCCTGGTGGCTTTCCCATGTGTTAAGAGAGCAAAATCACGCTTACATCAGTACACTATGAAAAACCTATCAGTTCGCGTCAGGAAAATGAGCTGGCAATGAGCTGGCAATGAGCTGGCAATGATCTGGCAATGAGCTGGCAATGAGCTGGCTATGAGCTGGCAATGAGCTGGCAGAGAGCTGGCAATGAGCTGGCATGGCAACGACATTCTAACCTTGATTCCATTCTTCTCTCATCCTTCCCCTCTCCCATCCCCCCCAACCAGCGGCTCGGTGTAACCCCCGACGCCACAACATTCAACACGCTGCTCAAAGCCTGCGCCGCCCACAGCCGCCCGGATGCCGCCCAGCTGCTGTACGATCAGCTGAGGGCGCTGGAGGAGCGAGAGGAACAGGTTGGAAACAATCACAGTAGCAGCAGCAATCACAGTAGTCGTGAAAACAGCAGCAGCCCACACAGCAGTTCGAACCACAGCAGCAAGCATAGTAGCGAGAACAGCAGCAGCAGCAGCCGCCGCACCAAGTACCTAGACGTGTACACATACAGCACAGTGATCCAGATTCTGGCCCAATCCGGCCGCTTCCAAGCCGCTTTCGCAGTAAAGTCCGACATGGACCAATCAGGCGTGCGCGCCAACGTGGTGACGTGGACGTCTCTGATTGGTGCGTGCGCTCGCGCGGGGTTTGTGGACCACGCGTTTAGGGTTTTTGAGGAGATGGTGGGGTCTGGGTGTGAGGCGACCACGGCGGTGTATAACCTGATGATTGACATGTGCGCCGAAGCTGGGCTGGAGGATCGGGCGGTGGCGTTGCTTCGGGAGATGCAGGCTGGGGGGAGGAGAGGTGAGAGGGGGATGGGGGAGGAGAGGGAGAGCGTGGGTGGAGTGGAGCAGGGGGTTTCAGTTGCTGCTGCATCGTCTCCCTCCTTCTCCTCCACCTCCTCCACCTCCTCCACCTCCTCCACCTCCTCCACCTCCTCCACCTCCGCCTCGTCCTCTTCTCCCCCCTCCTCCCCCCCCTGCTCCTCCTCCTGTGCCCCCGATATAATCACATTCAATACCGTCATCAAGGCATGTACAGGCAGTCCCCAGCGCGCGCGGACGTTTGTGGGGGAGATGAGAGCTGCGGGATACAGCCGAACGAGCGCACGTGGGTAGCCCTGCTGGATTGCCATGGGACCAATGCGGATACCGCCTCTGCTGTTCAGGTGGGTGTGTGCAGGAAGTGGGGTGGCTTTTGAGGCGCCTCAAAAGTTGGCTCTGCTGGATTGCCATGGGACCAATGCGGATACCGCCTCTGCTGTTCAGGTGGGTGTGTGCAGGAAGTGGGGTGGCTTTTGAGGCGCCTCAAAAGTTGGCTCTGCTGGATTGCCATGGGACCAATGCGGATACCGCCTCTGCTGTTCAGGTGGGTGTGTGCAGGAAGTGGGGTGGCTTTTGAGGCGCCTCAAAAGTTGGCTCTGCTGGATTGCCATGGGACCAATGCGGATACCGCCTCTGCTGTTCAGGTGGGTGTGTGCAGGAAGTGGGGTGGCTTTTGAGGCGCCTCAAAAGTTGGCTCTGCTGGATTGCCATGGGACCAATGCGGATACCGCCTCTGCTGTTCAGGTGGGTGTGTGCAGGAAGTGGGGTGGCTTTTGAGGCGCCTCAAAAGTTGGCTCTGCTGGATTGCCATGGGACCAATGCGGATACCGCCTCTGCTGTTCAGGTGGGTGTGTGCAGGAAGTGGGGTGGCTTTTGAGGCGCCTCAAAAGTTGGCTCTGCTGGATTGCCATGGGACCAATGCGGATACCGCCTCTGCTGTTCAGGTGGGTGTGTGCAGGAAGTGGGGTGGCTTTTGAGGCGCCTCAAAAGTTGGCTCTGCTGGATTGCCATGGGACCAATGCGGATACCGCCTCTGCTGTTCAGGTGGGTGTGTGCAGGAAGTGGGGTGGCTTTTGAGGCGCCTCAAAAGTTGGCTCTGCTGGATTGCCATGGGACCAATGCGGATACCGCCTCTGCTGTTCAGGTGGGTGTGTGCAGGAAGTGGGGTGGCTTTTGAGGCGCCTCAAAAGTTGGCTCTGCTGGATTGCCATGGGACCAATGCGGATACCGCCTCTGCTGTTCAGGTGGGTGTGTGCAGGAAGTGGGGTGGCTTTTGAGGCGCCTCAAAAGTTGGCTCTGCTGGATTGCCATGGGACCAATGCGGATACCGCCTCTGCTGTTCAGGTGGGTGTGTGCAGGAAGTGGGGTGGCTTTTGAGGCGCCTCAAAAGTTGGCTCTGCTGGATTGCCACGGGACCAATGCGGATACCGCCTCTGCTGTTCAGGTGGGTGTGTGCAGGGGAGTGGGGTGGCTTTTGAGGCGCCTCAAAAGTTGGCTCTGCTGGATTGCCACGGGACCAATGCGGATACCGCCTCTGCTGTTCAGGTGGGTGTGTGCAGGGGAGTGGGGTGGCTTTTGAGGCGCCTCAAAAGTTGGCTCTGCTGGATTGCCATGGGACCAATGCGGATACCGCCTCTGCTGTTCAGGTGGGTGTGTGCAGGAAGTGGGGTGGCTTTTGAGGCGCCTCAAAAGTTGGCTCTGCTGGATTGCCATGGGACCAATGCGGATACCGCCTCTGCTGTTCAGGTGGGTGTGTGCAGGAAGTGGGGTGGCTTTTGAGGCGCCTCAAAAGTTGGCTCTGCTGGATTGCCACGGGACCAATGCGGATACCGCCTCTGCTGTTCAGGTGGGTGTGTGCAGGGGAGTGGGGTGGCTTTTGAGGCGCCTCAAAAGTTGGCTCTGCTGGATTGCCATGGGACCAATGCGGATACCGCCTCTGCTGTTCAGGTGGGTGTGTGCAGGGGAGTGGGGTGGCTTTTGAGGCGCCTCAAAAGTTGGCTCTGCTGGATTGCCATGGGACCAATGCGGATACCGCCTCTGCTGTTCAGGTGGGTGTGTGCAGGAAGTGGGGTGGCTTTTGAGGCGCCTCAAAAGTTGGCTCTGCTGGATTGCCATGGGACCAATGCGGATACCGCCTCTGCTGTTCAGGTGGGTGTGTGCAGGAAGTGGGGTGGCTTTTGAGGCGCCTCAAAAGTTGGCTCTGCTGGATTGCCATGGGACCAATGCGGATACCGCCTCTGCTGTTCAGGTGGGTGTGTGCAGGAAGTGGGGTGGCTTTTGAGGCGCCTCAAAAGTTGGCTCTGCTGGATTGCCACGGGACCAATGCGGATACCGCCTCTGCTGTTCAGGTGGGTGTGTGCAGGGGAGTGGGGTGGCTTTTGAGGCGCCTCAAAAGTTGGCTCTGCTGGATTGCCATGGGACCAATGCGGATACCGCCTCTGCTGTTCAGGTGGGTGTGTGCAGGAAGTGGGGTGGCTTTTGAGGCGCCTCAAAAGTTGGCTCTGCTGGATTGCCATGGGACCAATGCGGATACCGCCTCTGCTGTTCAGGTGGGTGTGTGCAGGAAGTGGGGTGGCTTTTGAGGCGCCTCAAAAGTTGGCTCTGCTGGATTGCCACGGGACCAATGCGGATACCGCCTCTGCTGTTCAGGTGGGTGTGTGCAGGGGAGTGGGGTGGCTTTTGAGGCGCCTCAAAAGTTGGCTCTGCTGGATTGCCACGGGACCAATGCGGATACCGCCTCTGCTGTTCAGGTGGGTGTGTGCAGGGGAGTGGGGTGGCTTTTGAGGCGCCTCAAAAGTTGGCTCTGCTGGATTGCCATGGGACCAATGCGGATACCGCCTCTGCTGTTCAGGTGGGTGTGTGCAGGAAGTGGGGTGGCTTTTGAGGCGCCTCAAAAGTTGGCTCTGCTGGATTGCCATGGGACCAATGCGGATACCGCCTCTGCTGTTCAGGTGGGTGTGTGCAGGAAGTGGGGTGGCTTTTGAGGCGCCTCAAAAGTTGGCTCTGCTGGATTGCCATGGGACCAATGCGGATACCGCCTCTGCTGTTCAGGTGGGTGTGTGCAGGAAGTGGGGTGGCTTTTGAGGCGCCTCAAAAGTTGGCTCTGCTGGATTGCCACGGGACCAATGCGGATACCGCCTCTGCTGTTCAGGTGGGTGTGTGCAGGGGAGTGGGGTGGCTTTTGAGGCGCCTCAAAAGTTGGCTCTGCTGGATTGCCATGGGACCAATGCGGATACCGCCTCTGCTGTTCAGGTGGGTGTGTGCAGGAAGTGGGGTGGCTTTTGAGGCGCCTCAAAAGTTGGCTCTGCTGGATTGCCATGGGACCAATGCGGATACCGCCTCTGCTGTTCAGGTGGGTGTGTGCAGGAAGTGGGGTGGCTTTTGAGGCGCCTCAAAAGTTGGCTCTGCTGGATTGCCATGGGACCAATGCGGATACCGCCTCTGCTGTTCAGGTGGGTGTGTGCAGGAAGTGGGGTGGCTTTTGAGGCGCCTCAAAAGTTGGCTCTGCTGGATTGCCATGGGACCAATGCGGATACCGCCTCTGCTGTTCAGGTGGGTGTGTGCAGGGGAGTGGGGTGGCTTTTGAGGCGCCTCAAAAGTTGGCCCTGCTGGATTGCCACGGGACCAATGCGGATACCGCCTCTGCTGTTCAGGTGGGTGTGTGCAGGAAGTGGGGTGGCTTTTGAGGCGCCTCAAAAGTTGGCTCTGCTGGATTGCCATGGGACCAATGCGGATACCGCCTCTGCTGTTCAGGTGGGTGTGTGCAGGGGAGTGGGGTGGCTTTTGAGGCGCCTCAAAAGTTGGCTCTGCTGGATTGCCATGGGACCAATGCGGATACCGCCTCTGCTGTTCAGGTGGGTGTGTGCAGGGGAGTGGGGTGGCTTTTGAGGCGCCTCAAAAGTTGGCTCTGCTGGATTGCCATGGGACCAATGCGGATACCGCCTCTGCTGTTCAGGTGGGTGTGTGCAGGAAGTGGGGTGGCTTTTGAGGCGCCTCAAAAGTTGGCTCTGCTGGATTGCCATGGGACCAATGCGGATACCGCCTCTGCTGTTCAGGTGGGTGTGTGCAGGGGAGTGGGGTGGCTTTTGAGGCGCCTCAAAAGTTGGCTCTGCTGGATTGCCATGGGACCAATGCGGATACCGCCTCTGCTGTTCAGGTGGGTGTGTGCAGGAAGTGGGGTGGCTTTTGAGGCGCCTCAAAAGTTGGCTCTGCTGGATTGCCATGGGACCAATGCGGATACCGCCTCTGCTGTTCAGGTGGGTGTGTGCAGGAAGTGGGGTGGCTTTTGAGGCGCCTCAAAAGTTGGCTCTGCTGGATTGCCATGGGACCAATGCGGATACCGCCTCTGCTGTTCAGGGGGGTGTGTGCAGGAAGTGGGGTGGCTTTTGAGGCGCCTCAAAAGTTGGCTCTGCTGGATTGCCATGGGACCAATGCGGATACCGCCTCTGCTGTTCAGGTGGGTGTGTGCAGGAAGTGGGGTGGCTTTTGAGGCGCCTCAAAAGTTGGCTCTGCTGGATTGCCATGGGACCAATGCGGATACCGCCTCTGCTGTTCAGGTGGGTGTGTGCAGGGGAGTGGGGTGGCTTTTGAGGCGCCTCAAAAGTTGGCTCTGCTGGATTGCCATGGGACCAATGCGGATACCGCCTCTGCTGTTCAGGTGGGTGTGTGCAGGAAGTGGGGTGGCTTTTGAGGCGCCTCAAAAGTTGGCTCTGCTGGATTGCCATGGGACCAATGCGGATACCGCCTCTGCTGTTCAGGTGGGTGTGTGCAGGGGAGTGGGGTGGCTTTTGAGGCGCCTCAAAAGTTGGCTCTGCTGGATTGCCATGGGACCAATGCGGATACCGCCTCTGCTGTTCAGGTGGGTGTGTGCAGGAAGTGGGGTGGCTTTTGAGGCGCCTCAAAAGTTGGCTCTGCTGGATTGCCATGGGACCAATGCGGATACCGCCTCTGCTGTTCAGGTGGGTGTGTGCAGGGGAGTGGGGTGGCTTTTGAGGCGCCTCAAAAGTTGGCTCTGCTGGATTGCCATGGGACCAATGCGGATACCGCCTCTGCTGTTCAGGTGGGTGTGTGCAGGAAGTGGGGTGGCTTTTGAGGCGCCTCAAAAGTTGGCTCTGCTGGATTGCCATGGGACCAATGCGGATACCGCCTCTGCTGTTCAGGTGGGTGTGTGCAGGAAGTGGGGTGGCTTTTGAGGCGCCTCAAAAGTTGGCTCTGCTGGATTGCCATGGGACCAATGCGGATACCGCCTCTGCTGTTCAGGTGGGTGTGTGCAGGGGAGTGGGGTGGCTTTTGAG